ACCGTGGATATCGAGGCCAAGCATGTGGCCATCATACATCGTGCCTTGCTCGAAAGGGTTAGGGTCTAAAGAGGCTTAAGGTTTAGGGTTGATGGTTTAAGGTTTAGGTTTGGCGGGGATTAGGAGGAATGCTGCAGATATGGTCCTTTCATGAGGGGGTTGCGCGGGGATTTCCTGACGGTAGTGCAGCACCTGTAGTAGGTATCTCCAACCTTTGGATCTCCAGATTTGCACGAGAGGCATACGGATGAGGAAAGAAGTACTTGTGTGATAGCCATCACCACAGTCATGAGATGTCATGACCTTCTTGCCTCCGACTTCTGATGTGATTATGATCACCGTTTGGAGCGCTCTTTGTAGTTGCCGAACGCCCCCACAGGTTGCTACAAAAGCACGTTGAAACAGTTGTTTTCTTGGTTTCTTGGGAGAGACTTTCCTCACTACTGCAGCTGCGTGGGCTCCAAAAGGCATGTTCAACAAAGCACTCGCTTTTCGGCTTAATTTGGTGGAATAGTTAGAAATTGGAAGGGCGGTACAGCTTGTGTTTCGAGTCACAAGCTTTATCTAAGAATCTAGGCTGTGGATTGTGAATCTGATCTTCAAACTTGATTTGAGTTCGCTTTGCATGCTATGATGCCATACCCATTGCACACTGCAGCTTGGCGTTGTTCGCTTAGCCTTGCTGTGCGCAGGCAAGTGGTTGCCCACAGCATGGAGCACCAGCACTGGTGAGCTTTACTTTAGTGCATTCCACGCTGTTACAAGTCTAGCAGGCCACGACTGCATGTTAATTATACTTGCGAAGCAGGTTAGCAATGACCCAGCTCCCTAGATAATCCCAATGCTTGATCAATTGTTTCGGTTTCTTTTCCATTTGGTTCTCCATTATTGGAGTGCTATCCTTAAAATGGGACCCCAAGTCACTTCTGCCCATTCACCTCTCAAAGTACTGCAAAATGTGAGTCTTGCACGGGAAAGTGGTCTGGGAAGCATTGCTACGCGGTCTGCCAGCCTTCTCCTGTCCTCTTCCTCCCTCCAACTAGTAGATATTCTCCCAGTGATGGAGAATCAAATGGGCAAGAAATAGAAATCATCATATACAGCTCCTAAGCCTTAAACTTTGCTGGTGCCCATCTGACAACCTTTTTGTTTTTTCGAGAAGGACATGGACCGGGACCGTCACCTGCCCTACCTTACTGATTCTTAGTGGTGAATAATCCCTATCTAATCCCTACCTATATAGCATTTATGTAATCCCTATAGAATGCCTATATACTCCCTATAGAATCCCTACATAGCTCCTTTTTTTTTCAGTCCCTTATTCCCTATCAAGCGCCAGTAAGTAAACTCCAAGCCTAAACCCTAAATTGGGTGGCTTTTCAGGAGCTTAAAACAAGTTACCATGGTCTGGATATATTGTCATTGATAGGGTCGTCCTATTCTAGTATCTTAGCCTATAGTCCCCCTTAAGTAGATAGAATATGGGGTATATGATTTTTTATACTATACCCAAAGCCGTATTCTATCTACTGAAGGGGGACTATACACTCTAAACCTCTAAGGTCCTTAACAGCAAGCCAGTAACTGAGGTAAGACGGGTGGCCGCAAGTCGGCGTGCGAAAGCACGAGCGTGGACGTGCAGATTTCTCACAAGCTCCCGGGCTGGCAGTCGAAGGTTTAGGGTTTAGGGTTTGGGGTTTAGGGTTTGGGGTTTAGGGTTTAGGGTTTGGGGTTTTGGGTCAGAGTGGAACAGAATGTGGAAACTACTATAATGGGTTATATAGGGATTATTATAAGGATCCTGCACATCTCGATTTGGGGAGGTCGAGGGTTTCATGAGGATGAAACGAGGTTTAGGGTTTTAGGGTTCAGGTTTAGGGTTCAAGGTTTANNGGCTTAGGACTCCCTGAAGAGGCGTCGGGAGGTTTTCGGGTTTACGAGGTACTGTTGCAAGTAGCAGCAGACATATCTTGTTTGACAGCCGCCCATATCCCCTGCATCTGCCTGGGGGGCTCTAACACAGCCTTACCGAAAATTACAAACAGTGTGAATATCTCCTCATGTACAG